ACAACGCAGGAGTCTTTTAACTTTTAATAGACTACATCAAATGACATGTGGCTCTTCATATACTGAACAAATAATTTTTAAATAATAATAAAATAAAAATAATATTTATAAAGATACTTAAACGAACTTTAGTTAACTTTAATGAGCAGCTGTTGTGTGAAAATGTTTTAAACCCTCATGAAAATTAAAATAGTACTTAGTTTTTAAAATAAACGTTTTAATTATTGTCACCAGATTATCATCAGACCTCCTTACTGATGTTTTATTTGTTGGACTGTTTGGAGAGACAGCAGAGTCACAACGCTTAAAAATGCGTCACGAACGGTTTAAACCCGGAAATCATCAAATAGTTTTGTAAATAAGTCGCCTTGTTTTAATCTTTGCCTTCATCTAAACTTTAATGTTTATTATTAGTTATTGAAGAGATAAACAGACGATTTAACTACCTGTATAATATAATCGATTGTTTCTAAACATTGACATTATCTACTAGGACCCATTACAACTAAATGTTTAGCGTACAGGAACTTTCAGGGGAGCAAACAGTCCGTCCATTTGTCTTTCAAATTACATAAATCTGACATATAAAAAGACAAAAATATAAGTCAGACTGACCTGCCGCTGCCCCCTGTATTCCCAAGAGAAAAAGGAAGATGAAGGCCTTCATTGTGACCATAAACATTCACATTGTTACCATAAACATCCAACCTTTAACAGACTGTGTGTTCGCTTGTCTAGAAAAAGCGCCTCTGTGCTTCCAGCTGAAGTATCAACGCAAAAATAGGGGAAAAGGAGGAGAACTAGGACGTGCGTCACCACTGGGCTCCATCTCAGCCAATAAGAATTTACTCTGACAGTAAGCGTCACTTAAATCTGGGGTGAGCGCACCCTTTAGGGTTATCAACGAAAGTGAAAGTAAAATATCTTCACATGAACTATGAATGATGAAGGGAAGGGTTAAAGTTAGTTTCATCTGGTCTTGTCTTTTTAAAAAAAAAAAAAAAAAAACACAATTATTTTTAATATATCAGCATTAAATAATGTTTACTTCACAAGTTACTTATAAACGTGTTTGTTTCCTGGCATTAGTTTTGTTTTAGGCAACAAATAATAATTTCAGCGAGCCCCTCCCCTCTCCTCATTTCATGATTTGGTTTGGTCCCGGTGTGCGTTCCTACCTGACGCTAGGGGATGTTAACAGTCAAGTCTGGGTTTCAAAAAACGAACAGACACAGATAGTAATTAAACTTACAGCAAAGTCCAAACGAAAGAAGCTGCTTGACTTTCCTAGTGTTGGTTAGCTTACTTCATTTCACCCTATAACCCAATGTGACATTTTTCAGTATCATCTAATAACCGTATCATTAAAAATAATAACATTTAACAGAAAATGCTTTCAGCTAATTAATTAATTATACACAAAATCAAAAAATGATTTATCTAAGCACAATATTGATCCTTAATTTTTTTTAGTGCTGGCATGATTTTCAATTTTAAAGTGGTGGGACCCATATATTTATATATTTGGGTATAAATAAAACTGAAAACCATGCCAGCCCTAAAAAATTAAGCATCACTAGGCTTCCTCCCACAGTTCAAAGACATGCAGTGGGGTTAGGCTAATTGGAAACTTCAAACTGCCCATAGGTGTGAATGTGAGTAAAAGTGAGTGCAAATGGTTTTCTCTGTCTCTGTGTTAGCCCTGCAGCAGACTGGCGACCTGTTCAGGGTGTACCCTGCCTCTCGCCCTATGACAGCTGGGATAGGCTCCAACGACCCCGCAACCCTGAAAAGGATAAGCGGAAGCTGGATATATATATACACACCCAGCACGCCCCTGCGGGCGGTTTATCCTTCAAGCTCGGGTCCTCTACCAGAGGCCTGGGAGCTTGAGGGTCCTGCGCAGTATCTTAGCTGTTCCCAGGACTGCGCTCTTCTGGACAGAGATCTCCGATGTTATTCCCGGGATCTG